CACTTCCCACTAAAGATTCTTGTTTGTCTTAACAATAATGGACTTTCACTTATCTTGTGACAGAAAGACCTTCTGAAAGATCAGTTCCACCCGAAACCAAAATTTTTATTTTGGTAGAACTCACCTGGATTGTACCAATGGACTTTTATTTCTCAGAGAACCCAATAGCAAGGTTTTCATGCACTATGGATGATGTCACAGTCCCAGATATAGACATCCCCTTTATTTGTTAATCATAAATTAGGTTGAATCCATGGGGAAAGCACAGAACTATCATACATTTTTTAAGGTCAGCTGATGTTGGTGGAACTAAGGTTTCTTGGGGGAATTTCTCACCACTGTAATTCTCAAGAGATGTAAGAGTCAATGTGCCAAAAGTCACACAAAACTCTAATATCAGCTTGCGTGGAATTGTCCTTAAATGTAAAGTTAATGAAACCAAGGAAGTAAGACTCCTTAGGGGAGAATTACTAAAGCTGGTTCACTCAGAATCTGGTGCAGCTGTGCTTGGTAGCCAATCAGCTTCTAACCTCAGCTTGTTCAATTAAGCTTTAGCAATAAAACCTGGAAGCTGATGGTTTCCATGCAGAAGTGCATAAGATTCTGATTGAACCAGCTTTAGTAAATAAACCCCCTTGAAAGTGTTCATGCACACATAGGCTTTAATCAGACTTTTTTGGCAGGAGCATTTTCTGCCTGGAAAAAAACCCAGAATTAGTTGGTTTTAAGAAGAGTTTTTTGGCTCCATGCACACTGTGCGTTTTAAGTCTTCATGCACACTGGGCGTATTAATACTGCTGGTAATGTTAGCTGTAAAGTCACGATACCGTAAGTTTTTCAGCATTTTTGCATTAGCGCTTAGCAGCGTTTTGTTTTGTTTTTTTGCGTTTGCGTTTTGTAGCATTTTTTTTACCAAAAAACATTTTGTTTTGCTCAAAAAACATCCAAAAACGCCAGTTTTCCACATTTTACCACATTTTTCAGGGTTTTTCAGTTTTAGAGCGTTTTTACAGTTAAACTTCTCTAGAAACCCACTAGTTCTGGGGGTTTTTTTCCAGCCAAAAAATGCTGATTACAGTCTATGTGTGCATGGGCACAGAGGATAACATGCTGGGGAGTTTACTGGCTGTAGAAAAAAATGCCAAAAGCCAAAAACAGCAGCTGTAAAAATGTCCAGTGTGCATGAGGACTAATAGTCACGGTTAACGTATGTACTCTCCAGCACCTCAGGAAATGCACAGCCAAAGGAAAGCCAAGGGAACCAGGACAGCGACAACCAAAGGAGATGCTTCAGGGGTGCAGCCCTCCTCAGACGGGGAGATCAGCCACTAGATAAAGAATAAACAGGTGGCGCACACACCTAGTGCATTATTCAAGGTTTATTCAAAGGTATAAAGGATAAAAAACATACTCACAGATGAAGCATATATATCTAAAAAGCATTTGCATTATGAAGATGGCCACAATGGCAAGCAAGGTGGACTGATTGGAAGGGGCCTTGCTGCATTAGCAGCAAGGCCTCTACCATCAGTCCACCATGTCCACTACACATCTGGACCAGTCCTAAAGGCTGGTCAGCAGCTCTGAGGAAAGGGATTTGTCCCCGACTGCATTTGGAACACCTTGCTTGCCATTGTGGCCATCTTCATAATGCAAATGCTTTTTAGATACATGCTTTGTCTGTGAGTATGTTTTTTATCCTTTATACCTTTGAATAAACCTTGGATAATGCACTAGGTGTGTGTGCCACCTGTTTATTCTTTAACTAATAGTCACGGTAGCTGGGTGGAGCTTAGCTCTCAGGTGCAGAGACTAAAATGTATATGATTTTATTAAATAATTATACGAATCTAATCTGATATTATGGCAAAACCAAAGAATTTGGTGTGAACTAACCAATTCACTTCATCCAAGGCCTGTACATTCCCTCAAAAGCTCCCATTCTTAAATTGGGAAATTGTGCTTTAATCTACATTTAAGTATTTTAAAGTTACAAATTATTATTTTTTTTAGTTTGGATTAGAGTAGGGAATAGTCAAAACCCCCATCAGGTTCTTTGCAATCTGTGTCCCACTGGGGAAAATTGCCTTCAGTTCCTGCCTAGCTTGTAGACATAATAGGAAGTAAAAAGAAAGCTCTTCAAGATAAGGGTAATCCCATTTTAAACAGTTATCATGAAAGCAAGCATTCCCATTGGAACAAAATTGTCCCTCTATCCTTAATTTTGTGATAACTTTGGATTTTATCTTCCTTTATGTCCCAGTGGCAGTGGACACCGGGATACACAGACAGGCTGAAATGTCTCACCAGTGACACACACAGCAATACAAACCTGAAAGAGGTTCTATCCCCCTTACACTCTATCCAAAATACATTTTTAAAAGATCAAACTTTAAAGCTAAACTCCAGGATAAGCAAATATTGTGTAAATACAATTTGATTGTGAATTATTACGTGAATCTTTACATGCTGTATGTATTTCTTCCAGAACTACGCAGTAATCCAGAATAAAACATGGTCTTTGGCCAGGAGCTTCCCTCAATAAAGACTAATCACTGCTGTTCTCTGTCCTTCTGCAAGGCTGACTGGTCCTGTATCCTTCCCCTCTTATAATTTTCTGTAGGTGGCCTGGAGTGGGAGGAGCCTACTTGATCCCTCCTCACAGCTCTGCTCTTTGCACAGGGTATATGCAGCACAATGGTGATGTCACTGCTACTTTAAGGGCCAGTTCACACTATAAAAACGCAGTCCAGATCAGGGGCGGACTGACCATTTGGAAACTCAGGCCCTGCCCGAGGGCCCGGGGTCAGTAGGGGGCCCCATGAGATACCCCTGGTACCTTTTTCATAGGCTTTTTTGAGTTTGGGCAAGGACACAGGGACCCATTGATCCCTATTGCCCGGGAGCCCCATGAGTTGTCAGTCTGCCCCTGGTCCAGATGCGTTCTGCATGTACATTTTTGACGTGGTTTTGACACATTCTGGTTCGTTTTTAGACGTTCCAGTTCATTTTTTCTCCTCTCTTTTTCTTCAACTTAAATAGAGACATGGGTGTTCCAGTGTGTTTTTGGTGCCTTTTGGTGAGTTCCAGTGCATTTTTTATGTGTTTTACCGTGTTCCAGTACAGTTCTGTGCAGGGAAAATGCAGCATGTTCTACTTTTTTCTGCATCTGGAACACACTGGAACTGCAAGCAATGATGTGAACTATGACATTGACAACCATATAACCTACTTTCTGTTTGTTTTGGATGCAGAAAAAAAAGAAACTGAAATGCATGTAGTGTGAACTAACCCTTAAATTATAATATCTGGTTATGTAAAGGAATTGGATGCACACATAGTGGCTTTATATCCCATGTGGCTGTTGATCAGCATATTTCAGTTAACTGTTTTGTACCTGGAGTGTGGCTTTAAGGATTGTACAGTAAATATTTGTTTTACAGCTAAACTTACAGATTGTAACATTGTTGTCAACTTCTCCATGCATCCTGCAATAAACAAACAGTGTTACTACTACAGATTATAATAAAGTATCCACTGCAGCTAATTCATGAGAAAATGTTTTTTTGTTAAAAACAAAGTTTTGCAAATTACCATCATGGCTGCATCTATTGTGCAATAAAAGGTAAAAGTGAATGAAGGGCCATTTTGGAAATACAGCTCTTGAAAATGTAAATTATAAAATAGACCCACTCTATCCAGTCACATGCTTACTGAAATAAAACAGCAACTCTCAAGTCCTTAAATATTATTATTATTCATCATTTATATAGCACCAACAGTTTGTGCAGCGTTGTGCAAAATAAAGGGAGACAGTACAATTACAATACAATTCAATACAAGATGGTTGATAGATCCCTGGTCATGAGAGCTTGCAATCTAATAGAGATGGGCAAGGGGTAAAAAAGGTAATAATTGCGAGGTATGAGTTGATGGAGAAAGAAAAAGTTCAGTTTGTTAGGGGAGGAGATGAAGAAATTAGTTTTCAGGGATCGCCTAATGATGGACAGTGGAAGAGATAGCCAGGCAGAAGGTAGAGAGGTCCAGAGTAAGGAAGAGGCAATGGACAAGTCCTGGATGCAAGTATGGGAGGAGAAGTCAAGTGAGCGACAGAGAAGGAGGTCTTGGGAAGGGCAGAGAGGACGATTTGGGTTATAATTTGAAACTGGTTGGTGATGATTGGTGATTTAGCTCAGCGCAGAGTTGTGACTGGATTTGTACATTATTGTTAGGGTATTGATTTGTATTTATTGGGCATTCATGAAAGTATTGAGAGGGAAATAGCCTGTGTAGAGGTAGGCCAATGCAGAAGGAATTGCAATAGTCAAGGCAAGAGAGACAAGGAAGTAGCTTGGTGGTTTCATTGGTTAGGAAGGGGCATTTTTTAGAAAAGTTATGGAGTTGAAGTTTGCAGGATCTGGACAGTGATTGTATTTGGAGCTGAAAGGACAGGTCCAGGATCACACCTAGCATCCTGGCATTAGCTATAACTGCAGCTCAGAGAAATATTTAATCAGAGCAAAGACTATAATGACAAAATATATGTATGAGGTGGGAGGGGGATGCTGGGGGTAGAAAAATACATTAGTTTAGGGGGTGCTGGAGGCGGGGGTGAGGCACAAAACAAAGGGGATCACATTAAGGAGAGATGAAACAAGTGGGTCACTGCATGTGGCGGTGAGGCACAGTACAGGGGTGACATACTGAAGAGGGGGAAATGGTGAAGATGCACTTAAGGGTGCACAGAGCTGCAATCTCTTACTTTCATCTAAAATGTAAAAAAAAAAAAAAAAAAGGTTGCACCTCACATCTTTTAACCAATTAAATAATCAGAATACATAGCAAAATAACATTCATAGCTTTCTATTATGATTTGAAGAGAATCTCAAGGAAATTTATTTAATGAAGATCAGACTCAAATTTCAAATACTACACTCTTAAAGCTTGCTTAAATGGTTCATGATAAATTTGCTTTTAGATTTATGATGTTTTCTTCTAGGCTACTTATTTTGCAACACGTACCTGCTTTCTTCACCCTCCAGAAGAGTCCTGTATGTGGCAATCTCAAGATCCAGGGACATTTTTACATTAAGCAGTTCCTGGTAATCACGTAGCTGAACTGCAAGATCTTCTTTGGCTTTTTGTAGAGCAGCTTCCAGTTCACATAATTTCTCTTTGGCATCTTTCAAAGCAACCTCCCCACGGCCTTCAGCATCTGTAATTGCTATTTCTAGTGCACAAATCTGCAGGCATAAAATGATACATTAAACAGTGACCATAGTCTGGCATATTTTGCTGACTGAAGATAAAAAGAGTGAGAAATTTGAGTGGGGAGTGAAAAACAGTTTTGCTTTTGTCTGCAGGTGATTGCTGGTGCTTGTAGTTGTTTTATTTTCTTTTTTGGGGTCTTGCTAGCAGCTTTTACTTTTTGAAATCACTTTTTCTGTCACTTTTTAAATAGCATTTTTTTCCCTTTTCTTTCCTTCCTTCAGATTGCTGATTAGTGGAGGGGTTAATTGGTAACAGGTGCTACAGTTCCTATATAACTTTCTGTAGAGCTCCCTCTGAGCTTGCCCATTCTTGAGCTTGCCTGTATTTTGCTTGCTGGACCTTTGAGAAAGTGGAATTTTATTAAGTGGAGTTCAAAAACCGGAATGAAAAACAGGAGAATATAACAGGAGTATACTAACCTGTAAGTGACATCTGATATTTCCTATTCGTAATAATATTGTAACTGGGATAATGAGTACTATCAGAGTTGAAAGTTTTGTGCAGTGCACTGTGTCGCATGTATGGAACAATGGAGAAACAGCTCCAGGAAGGGTACCCCTGTGACAGATGTGAGCGGGTTGCCCTTCCGTTAGAGATCTGGAGGAACACTGTGCAGAACCGACAACCTTGAAAGGGCTCTTCTGCTCTCTGAGCAGGTAGCTAATGGGATTGATGTGGAGGGGCTAGTTAGGATTAGTGATAATAATGGGGGATTTTAATTACCCGAAAATTGACTGGAGTAATGGTACTGCAGGAACAGTTAAAAGGCAAACATTTATAAACCTCTTACAGGACAATTTTATGGTACAGTTCATAGAGGCCCCAACTAGGAATGATGCTTTGCTGGACCTGGTAATCACAAACCATGCAGAGCTTATTACTAATGTCCATATAAAAGAACATCTGGGTAGCAGTGACTATATCATGATTTAATTTACTGTTAGCTGTAAACAACAAGCACACATGGGAAAAATAACAACGCTCAACTTTAAGAGAGCTAATTTTCCAAAGCTGAGAAATGCTCTCCAAGACTTAGACTGGGAGGGAATATTGGCATCTATGAACACAACACAGAAATGGAAGTTCTTCAAAAAGACTGTATGTGAACACACTGCAAAATATATTCCCATGGGCAACACGTTTAAAAGACTAAAAATCAAACTATGTGGCTTAAGGCCAAAGTTAAAAAGCTATAGATAATAAGAAAAGAGCTTTTATTAAATATAAAAATGACGGAACTCTGTCATCGTTTAAACATTATAAAGAATATAACAGAATATGTGAAAAATGAAATCAAGGCCGCAAAAATTTAAAATGAACGACAGATTGAAAAATATAGCAGAACAATCCCCGAAAAAATCTTCAAATATATTTAATAGTAAAAAAGTCCGGTCTGAGCATGTAGGCCCTTTACAAAATAATCTAGAGTGGGTGACTGGGGACAAAAGAGAAGGCAAATTTATTAAATGCCTTCTTCAGCTCTGCGTATACAAAAAAGCATGGGGGAGCTCTTGTCCACATTGGGCATGGTATTGACACAGCCCCAGGTGATCCACATTGACTCACAATTGATATGATCCAGAAATATTTAGACAGAATAAAGGTGAATAAAGCACCTGGACCGGATGGCATACACCCACGGGTCCTTAAAGAATTCAGCTCTGTCATTTCAAAGCCATTGTTTCTAATTTTTAGGAACTCTCTAATGACTGGCATATTACCACTGGACTGGCGTAAGGCCAATGTGGTGCCTACATTTACAAATGGATCAAAATATCTAGTAATTATAGACCTGTTAGTTTAACTTCTATAGTTGGGAAGATACTGGAGAATTTAATAAAAGACCACATACTGTAGATGAGTTCTTGCTGAAAAAAAATATTTTAAGCAACAGACAGCATGGATTCATGAAAGACAGAAGTTGTCAAACAAATCTGAGTTCTTTTTATGAGGAGGTGAGCAAAACCTTGGACAGAGGGGTGGCTGAGGACACGGTATACTTGGATTTTTCAAAAGCATTTGACACAGTTCCCCACACACGGCTAAAGTGTAAGGTAAAATCTACTGGCTTGGAAAAATCGGCCTCCCAGCCCTGTAAGAGTTTCACATCTGTCAAATTCTAAAGTGATATTAAAGGCAATTTAAAAAAAACATGTAATAGTTATCTGCTCTGTGTAATGGTTTTGCACGGAGCAGCCCCAATCTTCCTCTTCTTGGGTCCCCCGCTGGTGCTCCTGGCCCCTCCCCCCTGCCAAGTGCCTCAGAGCAAGCAGCTTGTTATGGAGGTACCCAAGCAGGCTTGCTCCCGAGCTGCTGCTCTGTATGTACATTCACACATGGAGCTGCAGATCCTCTCTCTCCTCATTGGCTCACTAGCTGTGATTGACAGCAGCAGCAGCAACCAATGGCTCCCATTGCTTTCTCAGCCAATGAAGAGGGGGAGTCCGCAGAGAGCTCTCGTTCACATCGCTGGATAATGATGGGGCTCAGGTAAGTATTAAGGGGGCTGAGGAGGCTGCTGCACACAGAAGGTTTTTTGACTTCATGCACAGAATGCATGGAGGTAAAAAAAACCTTCAACCTTTACAACCACTTTAAGTTACCCACAGGTTTAGATAATGAGGCAAATGCCCAAGGGACAACATAGCAGATCTTTTTGGAGACCTTGGTTAATCATTTCAATACTGAACACTTTAACCCCCAACACTTTCACCGGGCCAATTTTCAACTTTCAGCGCTGTAACAATTTGAATTTAATAGTCAGTCATGCTACACTGTAACCAAATGAAATTGTTATCTTTTTTTCCCACAAATAGAGCTTTCTTTTGGTGGTATTTAATCATCACTAAGTTTTTATTTTTTGCTAAATAAACAAAAGTTAAAAAAAAACATGTTTTATTCATTTCTGTTATAAGATTGTGCAAATAAATAATTTCTTTATAAATTTAGGCCAGATGTAGACCACTATATTATTTTTATTATTTATTATTTAGTCTTTTATTTTTATTTAGTCTGTAGGAAAGTTCACAAACTATGGTATGTATATTTGATATATATATATTTGATATACTTAATTTTGTTGAGGCCTGAAAATGCCAGGACAGCGCAAATACTCCCCTTTTTAGAAAGTAGACAGTCCAAGGTGAGTTTGTTCAATTTTGTAATTTTTTGTCACAATGTTTTGGAAAATGAAGAAACGAAAAAAGTTTGGGTTTTTTTTTCACTTTTTCTTTTTTTTTTTTTTTTTTACTGTCACCAGCTTTATCACATAGCTGGCATGGTAGTGATCAGGGACACTGACTGGTGACCGTATGTAAAAAAAAAAAAAAAGAATTATATATATGTGTGTGTATATGTGTGTGTGTATATGTGTGTGTGTATATATATATATATATATATATATATATATATATATATATATATATATATATATATATATATATATATATATAATATATATATATATATACACACACATTTTTTTTTTTACTTTTTTTTTTCAATTACAATTTATTTATTTTTTTTACATACTGTGACCAGAGTCATCATAGTTACATTATACTACTCTGGAGAAGTGATCAGGAACCATTTTTTATGAATGACATCCATTCATCCAGTGTGTACAATTGTGAAGCGCTTTTATATGGTATAGAAGCTCTGTGATTGGCCCTGTCTGTACCACATAATCACTGTGACCAATCACAGAGACCAGCACAATAGTACACAATGAATGGCTATAAATGGAAGCCATTCATTGTGTATAATTGCAATACAATCTGCTGTAATTGGTCACAGGGATCTCATGTTACCAGATCTGTCATCTGCTGTGTCCAGTGGACACAGTGGGTGAAAGATCGTGCCAAAGCATGGCTTGTGAGGTGCGCACAAGGCGCAGTTCTGGGAGGAAGTCATATGAGGTCCACCCAGGATGGCAGCACTCTCGCTCCACCTTCATATTATAGGTCAGGCAGGAAGCGTTTAAAGATATGTGTGTTAATAATGCTGAATATTTCTCTATCATAGGCTATTTATCCTAAACACAAGTACCACCCCTTTTCAGCCACAGCATATTTCAGACTGTCATAGGCTGGTCTCTGCACCTGTACCTCCCTAGTGCCACAAAGATATAGATATAGGACACACAGGGGCTAGACATGGCCTTAAGCTCCAGCAGTTACCTTCCAACGCTGCAGTCACTCCTGTCAGGAGAAAGAAGCAGCCAAAGCTCCCACTGCACCTGCCTCTTCGACACCAACCCCCCCTTCCCCCCACACACACATACACACCTATGTGCCAGCCCTGTCTACAGTAACAGGAATAAAGATAAGAACATAATTGTGTACATCAGGAAAGGTCTTACATGTTTCTTTACACAGTCGATTTCTCCTTGCAGTCTTTTTATCATGCTGTTCAGATCCTGGATCTCATTCCTCTGACTGCGCAGATTATCCCCATGTTGTCCCGCTGTGTCTTTGAGCTGCTGGAACTATGAGGGATGTACAGACAGTATGGAATTTATTATTATCCTTAACCCAGCAACCCTTATATTATATATTATACAATTGTACAATAAATTACAAATATTATACATGTCACAACACAATTGTTCTAGTACATCTAAACTAAACTAAAAAAAAAGTGAAACTGCAGCCTAAACCTTTTTTTATGTTTGTTTTGGATAGAGTGGCAAGGGGTTATAATGTTTGTCAGGACTATATTGTTGTGTTTTTCATTAATCAGACCACCCCCTAACTTCCTGCTCTGGTGACAGTGCTCTCTGATAAAGGAAGTTATGGCACATGGACAGGAAAAAAGGTTCTTTCTTAGTAGAATGGGGAAGGGTTAGAACCTCTGTAAGGTTTTTTTCCCCCCCTTTGGGGTATATTTCCTATCTGTATTCTACTTGTATAGTCATTGGGGCAGAAAATAAAGGAACATCATTCAAATGGGCACAATGATAACCTCTGACCATGGGTATTGCCCTTCCAAAAAGAAAAAAATGCAGTTTTCGCTATGTTCCACTTGAAAGTTATAAAAGCTGAGGTACGTAAACAGTAAGTATCAAACTGTAACTGAAAAATAATAAAACTATACCAATGGCTGAAAGTATGAAATTATTTTTTTAATCTGGTAACGTTATGTGATCTATAAAGGATACAGTCCATTAACCATCCAACAAACAGAATTAATTATTGTGACCTGAGAAATTACAAGAAATGTTCTAATGCTGTTTCCAGTGTCTGAACTGATATAAAAAAGCAACTGTGCCAAGACTATAAACATTAAAGTTTTTATATACTCTTATTAAACCGTAAAAGCACTTTAACCCTCTCACTATATTTTTGCATATATGTTAAAAACACACATTTTAGACCTGAAGATTAATTAAAACTGGCAAATATTATATATTTTTTTGTTTAAAAGCAGAGACCCTGGGCAATAAAATGGTGGTAGTTGCAATATTTTAGGTAACATGATATTAGCACACATTTTTTAATCAAATGCATATTTTCTCAGTAAAAATATACTACAACTAATTTATAGTACACACAGACCAAATATTTTACCCATTTTTTTTGTAAAATACAACCTGAGGGGTTGCGTTGAGTAAAAAGATACCAAACGTATCAAGCCTTAAAATTGTATTGTATTGGCCTGTGAAATGGTGACTAACTTTAGTACCCAAAATTGTCAATAGGGGACACACTAAAAGCATTTATGAGTCATTTATTTAGAATTAACTATGAATGGTGTCCCTAGAATTATTGATTTCACTCCGGCATGCCCTGCAATACCTAATATATGTTGTACAATTGTTGTTTCCTTACGTAGGCTTAAGCATACTTGTTGCAGATCACTTACTTGTCTAGCATAGTTGGCTTCAGCTTCTGCTCTGCTCTTAGCAGCAATTTCCTCATATTGAGATTTAGCCTCAGAAATGACTCCATCTAAATCCAGTTCACGGTTGTTGTCCATGGTCAAGATAACATTGGTGTTGGAAATTCGTTCTTGCATGTTAGCCACTTCCTGTAAGGAGCAAGTGTAACAACATGTAAGACCTAGCTTAATGCTTTGGTTAACAATGCACCTGCCCCCCGAACAGTCTATCAGCTCTCCAAATATCCATTAGTACAGGACACATGGTAGAGAAACCTGACCTATTAACTGAAATGGGAACACATGACAGAGGGACTGGAGCTGATAACTGTGACTAGCATATATAGTAGAGGTACGAGCACTCACAAAGTGTTAGAAACCTCTTAAAGCATATTTAAATCCAAAAACAAAAAAGGCATAAAAATTGCAGCTTACCAATTAGGTGTGGGTGCTGCATTAGTTTTCTTCTTCATTTTTTCATGTTGTTTTCCTCTATATTCACCTGATATTTCTGCCATTTTCCTGTCTCAGGGTGACAAAGCTCACTGTGTTCATGGAGGAACAGCATTGTCACCCTAATCTGTTCTGCTGATTAGGCAAATAAACAACCCCCACTCTTCTAATCTCTATAATATAACTGGACATTGCTTTGTAGCTCACAGAAGATAGCTTGGAAAGCTGATAATGTTTGAGATTTCAGTCCAGTTTACAGAAAGTCAGGCTTAGAGGAAAAGACCCAAAGGAATGGATGGAAGGATGACATGACTGGGGTTAAAAGGGGAGTGGTGGGCACAGGTGGAGTTCCTAAAAGTTTAAATGACGCAGAGGTGGGGATACTGACCTTATTGGTGAGGCTGGACAGGATGGGCGGGGCCTGCAGGGGATTGTAGGCAGGGCGGTCTCAGGAGATTTCAGTTGGAGGATGTCAGACTTCAGGGAATCTTCCCTCCCTTCCCTGTAGTCATTGGTATTTTTATCCTTTTTTGTTATGTTTTGTTTTCGATGGGCTTATATTCAGATGGTTTAAGGGGTTAAACAAACCTTTCATACACCCTACAATTAATTGCTATCATTAAATTTAAGATGCAATTTAGGATGCAATTGCTGTGTGAGTACTGAAAACGGGTTTTATCTCTTATCTTAGACCAACTAGCCCAGCCAATCATAAATCAGCACTATAATAACAGTTAATAATTTAAATAATAGGTTTATTACCGCATCAAATAAAGTCTTCAGGAAATTAAGCTCATCCACCAAGGCATCTTGCTTGCAATCCAGATCAGTTTTTTGCATGTACAGGACATCAACATCCTTAAAAAAGTATTAAAGTGTGTTAAAGGCATTTAAAAATGGTCCTATACTGAAATACCTGCTGTTAATTTATATATAACACAAACACACATAAGCAGACAAAACAACATGCAGGCAACATGCATGTAAGATGTAACATTCCATAAAACCCTATACTAACTAGAAATATGAAAACACATTGCCATGTTTCTTAAAGGAATTGTGTACTAAGAGAACATGGAACAATACTATAGTCTAATACCATGCAAGTCAGGAGTTCTCACTCCCCTTCGACTTTCTAGCCTCCATGCTTGTTCCAGATCAGTTTGCTTAGAAAGTCACAGTTGTCTGTGCTACTTGCTTTCCCACAAAGAGATCAACATTGGCAGTTTCCATAAATCGCACAATACAGGTTTATTTAAGAGCAACTCTGTGTTTTCCCTTGCATGGCAAAGCAGCAACTTTCTTTAAAATCAGCCCTACTAGCTGCACATGCTCCCCTTAATGTTGCCACTCTGCCACTCCATACAGACAATGGGATCCAAGAAAGCTACCCAATAATTTCCAGGTATAGGAGGAAGGTGGCTCAATCTCCCTCTTCTCACATGACATCACTGGTGCCTGGAGCCTGGACTCCCAGTGCTAGAGAGAGAGGCTCTTTAGCAGACATGTAAGCTCCAAGTCAACAATATAGCAGTGTGGAGCAAAATTAAATGTTTAGTTGGTGTGGCTGGCATAAATGGGAAATCTCTCCAGTGTGAACACAGGCAAACATAAAAACACATATTTAGTAGAGTTAGGAAGGATTTGGACTTCTGACAAATGTTAAAATTGCTGTTTTTACTTCCTGTCTTGGTGACAACTTCACCTAGCTACTGCTTTTATAGGCATTACAGAGGGAAAATCTCCCCAATAGGATCACAGACAAAAACAGACCTGCCAACAATTTCAACTCTTCCCTACTCTATTTAGAACTATAAAGAACTTGGGTTGAAATTGTGCTTTGAATCCTCTTTATAACACTTCTAAACCAGTCATCTAGATTCAGTTTGTGAAAGACATTGACTTAGAAAAGATTCAAATGTACTGCATTGAATGGAATCCAGTCCTGAGGCTGATACATTACAGTTTTTGGTAAATTTCTAGGAAAAATACATTGAAGCAGGACTCCAGGCAGATACAATGTGCACATAATACATCGCTTTCGCTTCATTCAATAAAGTGCGTTTGATAAACCAAAAATGTAATATATTGCAGTGTACCAGTCCTTGGTGTGGTGACTGCATTCATTTTCTTTTTTCAAGCATCTTTTTTTATCCTTTAATCCTGGAAATAACATACTTCCTGACTCTGTGTGGCTATGTCACTCCTCCACTGTATCTATGGAGGGAGCCATGGTTGTCTCCATAGTCTGCTTTTCTGATATAGGCTATGAACATGTCTGTATCTCTTCATCTCCATTACGAGGGGGCAGGGCAATTGGTAGGTTACAGAAGATAACTAAGAAGGAAGATATTCATTGGTGCATCTCACAGGAAGTAGCAATGATAATGCATTTCTGGCAAAATCAACAACATTTTCTATACTTGCTGAAAATATTTTTTTTGCATGAAAAAAGAGAAAACAAATGCAGATATCACATCTAAGGGCCATTAGCTGCAATATATAAAATTTTTGTTCTTGGGTTTAGTTAACCTTTTTACATCATTATAGGCTTTTTTTAATTCAAGCAGTAGAAGGGCCTGAATTTGACTTAGCATCCCTTATTTTCAATCCCCTGTACAACATAGCTCAGGCTGGGGGCAGGAGAAGTAGCAGAAGGAGCCAATAAAGTGTGCTCAGCAGTGCTCATGTGCTGACAATGTACCTGCTGATAGGACAAGATAGCAGAGTGGCAGAGAGACAAGCACATCAATCTGCTACTTTTCCTTTTACTCTTTAATCGTGAGTTCAGCTTTAATGTTTAAAATTAAACTATTTTAACAGTACATCAGGAGGAGCATTGCAAACAGTTTTAGCGCAGTATTCTTAATGATTACATTTTAAAATGTAAAATAATCAAACTGAACACAATATTGAGAATACTTTTTCACATATCAAATTAATATGAGGAAAAAAATATCCCATTTACAATGTTCTTGTTATATAATATTTTTGCTGCATTCATAAAATGAATGTATTATTGCTGTCAGGCACATTTCTATTTAAACAATTTATTCCTACCTTCTTTACAAAGAATTTTAATGTTTAACATATTGTGATACTTCCAAATAAAATACGAACAGTTCAAGTACTTTACACTTAGAATTAACTCAAAATTACTGAGCGCAAAATAGTTGGGTTCCTTTTAGGTTAGTAGTTTCAGCTGGAAAAATTAAATAAACTAAAAATCAATATTAAAGTTACCATAGTAAAGGATACAAATCAAATTACATTTCATTAAGCTGAAGTATACCTTTTTCAAAGATACAAATTCATTTTCAGCACAGGCACGCTTATTGATCTCTTCTTCATATCTGTATACAAAGATAAGTATGAGTAATTACCATATTGATTTATTTGATACATACATGACTGCATATATTTCAGAGCATATTTTATTATATTCCCAAAAATTATGTCAATTGTTTTAATATTTCAGTTGATTCTATTCAGAAAAGATGACAAGACATTAAATAACATTATTTACTGATGCAGGATGACAAACATGAATTTAGTTTCACCTACTTAGCCTTAAAACCTTCCACAACATCCTGCATGTTTTTCAGATCTCCTTCAAGACGACATTTTTCATTCTTGGTGGTATCCAGTTGTCTTTGTAGGCTGCTAATGTATACCTCAAATAATGGTTTGATGTTGTCTTTCATATTAGCCAGCTTTTTATTTTGTTCTTGCAAAAACTTCCATTTTGTTTCCAGAATTTTATTTTGTTGTTCAAGGAATCTGACCTAAAACAGTTGTAAAGGCTAAACAGTCAGTAAGGTTAGAAAAACAGTAAAAAAAATTTTAGACAAAATTTTTACAGCGCATTTGACTTACCTTGTCTATGAAGCATGCAAATTTATTGTTGAGTGATTTGATTTGCTCCCTTTCTTGTGTTCTGACTTTCTGGATATTTGGATCAATATCAACTTTTACTGGCTGAAGGAGGATTTGGTTGACCGTAACATTTTGGATACCTCCAGGTGGACAAATGGGAAAAGTGTCACCACTGAAGCTTAATCCTTTGCCCACTGTGCTTATTCCCTTATTGGTGCCAGTGGCTATGGAGATCCGTTTGCTTCCTCCTAAGCAGTAAAGGCTGTTTGTGCCATATTTACTACTTCCAGCACCAAGGCGCACAGGGTAACTTTGAGGCCCTCCAGATCGTATCAGGGAAGATGAAGAGAAGTTGACTCTTCCATACCCACCACCAGTTGAGCAACTACTGAAGCACCGAGCTCCACAAGAACCTCCAGCACCAGCCTTTCCAGGCTTGGTAGCACATGACTGTTGGATTTGGCTCATTGTGATTCTTCCAGATGACAGCGTGAAGGAACAGAAGCAGATGGAAGAGAAGGCTAAACTTAAGTTCTGTGAAGGACCAGAATTAGCTTTTTATATTTTTAGGAAGGGCTTGGTTCATGAGAAAATCATTATACCTTAGCCACAGTCATGGGCTTGGTTTTTGGGCTTGGCAGTGGGCAGTCTTTCTTTTTTAACTAAATTTATCTAGGAATTAAAATCTTTTAATGAGATTGTGAACATATAAATTGCTTTGTTTATGTGATCCACTTTAATGTAATTTAGATTTAATAACTTTTCACATTACTGGTTATCTTTAAAATAGGGCACAAAAGCAAGTTGTGCCTTTGTATCCGAATAAAAGTTTCAAATTAATTTCAAACAGTTTTTTTATTTGTATTAAGTTATAAACTATGCCTTTATTTAAAGTAGAATGCTTTTAGGACAATTTTATTCATATTCATCTCACAAAAGAAAATTTGGGAAAACTGGCTTACAAACTCATAGGTCTTTAAATAAGCATTGCCTCACAAATCATTAGCTCTGTTGTGTCAAAAATTAAAACAGGTATAAAAATTGTAATTATATATAAAACTATTAAACAAAGGTTATAATTACAAGAGAATGTAGCTTGCACCTCTCCTTAAACAAATCTACCCTGTAGGGAAGATTTTAGTGTATACTGTATTTTTGGCATTTCCTCATTTCTATTGTAATAAATGTTAGACATCCCTCGTTACTGTAGGCAATCATCCTATTCCACAAAGCTAAATAATTTAATATGTTGACTGACATTTGTGCAACACTAGACAGTAGAAGTTAATTTGTCTGTTAAGTGAAAAAACAATTTTACACAGGTTATACAATTTTGTGTACATATAAGAGCACATTTCCATACAATACATGCAATAATGATGATCCTGAACAACTATCTTACTATGTATATTTATACCAAGATGAGATCCCAACACAAACACTAATGTACAATAACCAAGGGAAGCTAGGAAGTATCATGCATATGTTTGAACTTGATTATAACTAGAGATGAGCGAATTATTCAAAAATTCGGTTCGGCTGATTCGCCGAATTCGCCGAATAAATTCGCTTCGAGCCGAATATATTCGCTGCGAATTTAACTTATAAAAAGGGTGTTTCTAGGCTTCAGAGAGCCTTTATATTAGTGCAGAACACTGTACCTTTAATTTAAATGCCCTTGGAGTCTGCTGGGGAAGAGAAATAATACTGTCAGTCAGTATGACATGCAGATGAGTGCCGTCGATCTTAGAATCACCGCACACTTCACTCATTTGGGCAGTCACGGGGCCAAAACCAGAGTGTGGAGCCACAGTGTGGCAGTGGAGGCAGCAGCAATGGGAGGCCATACAGCACCCTATGACAAAATGGAACCCACCAGCAGTGTGAGGAGACCTGAAAGTGGCACATGGCAGAGTGTGGCGATGGAGACAGCAGCAATGGGAGGCCGTACAGGGACCCATGACACACTCTGGACCTGGCAGCAGCATGAGGAGGCGGTACAGGGGCCCATGACAGATTACGGGCCTGGCAGCAGCATGAGGAGTCGGTACGGGGGCCCATGGCAGATTACGGGCCTGGCAGCAGCATGAGGAGGCGGTACAGGGGCCCATGGCAGAGTGGCGGAGCGTAAGCAGCTAAAATTGAAGGCCATACAGAGGCCTATGTTAAAAAGTCCCCCCAGCAGCAGCGTGGGGAGACGACTATCAAGAGTCCAATGGCAGAGTGGCGGAGCAGAAGCAGCTTCAATTGAAGGCCATACACAGGCCTAGGTTTAAAAGTCCCTCACAGTTAATTCCAATAACGAACTCTACTTCTCCGTGCAATCTACTTACGAGACCCTGGGCAGGTCTGGGTCCAATTTGTGGTAGAGACTGGTTTTGTTCAGCCATGCTTGAGCGAGTAATAACAGGTCTGTGCTGCCCTTTGGTGTCTGGCTTAATGCGCACAACACTGAACGTCCCAGCGTTTGTCAACGATTTGCCGTTAAGTGATGCAAACCCGCTGAACCACGTTCATGAGGAGCCGGTACAGGGGGCCATGAATCAGTATGGACCTGGCAGCAGCGTGAGCAGACGACAGAGGCACATGGCGCAGGGTGGCGGTGTAGGCAGCATTATTCTGAAGCCATACACAGGCCTAGGTTAAAAAGCGGAAGCCGTCAGCAGCGTGAGCAGACGACAGAGACACATGGCACAGGGTGGCGGTGGATGCAGCAGTATTCGGAAGCCAAACACAGGCCTCAGTTAAAAAGCGGAAGCCGTCAGCAGCGTGAGCAGACGACAGAGGCACATGGCGCAGGGTGGCGGTGGAGGCAGCAGCAATGGAAGGCCATACAGCACCCTATCACAAAATGGAACCCACCAACAGTGTAAGGAGACCTGAAAGTGGCACATGGCAGAGTCTGGCGATGAAGTCAGCAGCAATGGGAGGCCGTACAGGGACCCATGACACACTCTGGACCTGGCAGCAGCAAGAGGAGGCGGTACAGGGGCCCATGGCAGAGTGGCGAAGCGTAAGCAGCTTAAATTGAAGGCCATACAGAGGCCTATATTAAAAAGTCCCCCCAGCAGCAGTGTGGGGAGAGACTATCAAGAGTCCAATGGCAGAGTGGCGGAGCAGAGCAGCTTAAATTGAAGGCCATACAGAGGCCTAGGTTAAAAAGTCCCCCCAGCAGCAGTGGGGAGATGACTATCAAGAGTCCAATGGCAGAGTGGCGGAGCGAAGCAGCTTCAATTGAAGGCCATACACAGGCCTAGGTTAAAAAGTCCCCCCAGCAGCAGCGTGGGGAGACGACTATCAAGAGTCCAATGGCAGAGTGGCGGAGCGGAAGCAGCTTCAATTGAAGGCCATACACAGGCCTAGGTTAAAAAGTCCCCCCAGCAGCAGTGTGGGGAGACGACTATCAAGAGTCCAATGGCTGAGTGGCGATCCGGGAAGTCAGCGTTGTGATTGCAGATGCAATGCAGAAATTCTACGAAGTAATGCCGTGGGTGCGAAGAAGATCATATACCGTCGTACTTCCATCCATAAGACGGAACAACCTGCGAACCGGGAGCTTTATTGCCCTGACCCGCTGAGCAGCTTCTGGGATACCCAAGAGGCCCATGGCAGAGTGGCGGAGCGTAAGCAGCTTCAATTAAAGGCCATACAGAGGCCTATGTTAAAAAGTCCCCCCAGCAGCAGCGTGGGGAGACGACTATCAAGAGTCCAATGGCAGAGTGGCGGAGCGGAAGCAGCTTCAATTGAAGGCCATACACAGGCCTAGGTTAAAAAGTCCCCCCAGCAGCAGTGTGGGGAGACGACTATCAAGAGTCCAATGGCTGAGTGGCGATCCGGGAAGTCAGCGTTGTGAATAGTGGTTGTGAAGCAGAAAGTCAGTTTATTGTACACAATCGGTCAATTGCAGCTTGCCGTTGGCTGGAAACTGTACGTTTCTGTCACTGGAATGCACTAATCACCCAAAAAATATTACCGCCAGCCGGCGTGTAAATGGATTTAACTCTTTGAACGTACAATAGTGGTTGTGAAGCAGAAAGTCAGTTTATTTAGCACAATCGGTCAATTGCAGCTTGCCATTGGCTGGAAACTGTACGTTTATGTCACTGGAATGCACTAATCACCCAAAAAATATTACCGCCACCCAGCGTGTAAATGGATCTAACTCTTTGAACGTACAATAGTGGTTGTGAAGCAGAAAGTCAGTTTATTGTACACAATCGGTCAATTGCAGCTTCCCGTTGGCTGGAAACTGTACGTTTGTGTCACTGGAATGCACTAATCACCCAAAAAATATTACCGCCACCGTCGTGTAAATGGATTTAACTCTTTGAACGTACAATAGTGGTTGTGAAGCAGAAAGTCAGTTTATTTTGCACAATCGGCAAACTGCAGCACCAACTGTGCACGACAGCCACCAAAAAAAAAAAAACGGTGTATGTCACTTTAAATTTTCGATTCTTTGATAGCTGTGGCCCTAAGTAACGATTCTGTGTCCCTGAGTAACGATTCTGTGTCCCTGAGTAACGATTCTGTGTCCCTGAGTAACGATTCTGTGGCCCTAAAACGTCTCTGTGGCCCTAAAGTCTCTGTCCTGTCCCTTAATACACACAGGTCTGTCTCTCTTGAATGACCGGAGGCTAATGGAGAATTCTAAGATGGCCGCGATTTATAGCTCCACCATTACACAGTGCTGGCTGGCTGCTGATTGGCTAATGCGATCACATGTCATGAATGCATTATGGGCGCGCCTCAGCGCGCCTTCCCAGAGATCCCCGCCCCATCTTCTCTGTCCATTTTCTCCGTCGCCACACATGTCGCCGCCATTTTTGGGAAAATTCGATTCGTGCATCCAAAGTTTGCTAATCTTCGGATTCGTCGCGAATAGAATTTTTCCAAATCTTCGGAACGAATTCCACTTCGTCATGTTCGATTCGCTCATCTCTAGTTATAACAATCAACAAAGACAAGCAAACGTGGAGCTGGGTCAGCTCTGGACATCATGGGGTTTATTTACTAAAGCTGGAAAGTCCAAAATCAGACTCCCTTCTGCATAGAAACCAATCAGCTTCCAGGTTTCATTGCCAAAGCTTCATTGAACAAGCTGAGGTTAGAAGCTGATTGGTTTCTATGCAGAAGGGAGTCTGATTTTGGACTCTCCAGCTTTAGTAAATAAACCCCCTTGGGTCCATGTGGTATACAACCATATTGCATGTTGACATTTGTATTTTTAATGTGAGTGTGCAAGTGTTTTTATTTTTACTATTGCAATACAAATTACTGCATTATGACATTCTACTTTATTGTGTATTCTTGATGCGCAAAATGCAATGCACTTGGAGGATTAAAAGGTGTAAGAATCATAGGCTGAAAAGAGATGATTTGGAAGACTGCCTGGAAGGACAGCATAAATATAAGTAATTATAGACCAACTTATTAAGTTAACCATTTGCCCTCCAGAGGATTTACCC